ATTATTATAAGTAGTCCAAAAAAAGAAAATTATATTTATGCATTGTAGATGATAAAAAGTAGGATTTTTGTTTTCTGGTGATCATTTCTTTGGCAATCTGGTTATCACTTTTATTTTCTCATATTCTCAATGGAAACAATTTTCTCTATCTCAATCATTATTTAGATTCTAACATTTAAATTGACAGAAAAAAATTGAAAATAAATCATGTGGAATAATTTTGATACTCACTGTAACTAATGTCAATGTTGGAAATAACATGACAAGTGATTGACACACGACAGAGCTAACACATAGACAATGTCAGCAAAGTAAAGAATAATATCAGTGCTAAAAATGATAACTGTGATAATAGATAAAGCAAAACAAACCAGGCAAGCAAGCGAACAGTACGATACCATGTATATAATCATACCAATAACAGTTGATGAATAATAAATAACTAAAATTTTGGCTTAAAAGAATAAGCATCTGTGCGCGTTTGAAAAGAATAATGTGGATATGTACAATTAAAAGAAAGGTCATTTGGAATTATTTTAGGCTCGACAAAACGAGTATATGTAGAAGATATTCATTCATATAGGGTATAATAATCGTCCATAAAAAGTGTTCCATAGATAAAGATAACTATGATTAAGATAGTGAAGAGAATAAATCAATACAAAATAGTAAAGAGTAATTTTACTTCATATAGATCCATGTCTTCTTTATAAAATATACAATAAAAAAATTCTTTTTAGTTAAAGAGATTTAAAAGTAAAACATAAAAACATACATCTTTTCTCATTACCTTATCAGATATCCTATTTTAAAGTTGATTTTGTTCATCGCTATAATACTGGATTTTTTTATATTCTCATTTACTTCATATTTCACGTAGAAAATAAATGAATAATCTCGCGAGTACGTTATGAATAAAATACTAAATATAAATCTTTAGAAAAATATTCTTTTATCTATAATCTTACATTAATAAACAACAAAAATAATAAAACCAATAACAATGACGACTTCTCTATGAAAGATACAATGAATATGTTTGCAAAAGTTTGATCAAAGGACGATGATCTTTCTTGAAATATTCTTTTCATAAAATTAATCAAAATAATTCATTTATATTTGTATTTCAACAAACTTTTTTGTTCGATATTTGAAAAAATTAATACGATCTGTATATTAATAAAAACTTGGTTTGTTTCACATATCATCGTAAATTAGAAAAAAATGAACATATTTTAAATATTTTCACAACACATTTGTTTTAGTTATTGATTAAACAATGATGTAAAAGATGTTTTTCGAACTTCTATTATGACAAAAATTCTTATACAAATTTGCAGTGCAAATCCAAAATGATGTTTATTATTTATTTAAAATGCATGAATCTATTTAGCAGTATGGAGAAAATATGATTGAAACAATAACCATTGCACAGCTTTTTATGTTTCTTTAATGGCTGTTTTCAAAAGATATTTAATGAAAGAAAATATTTCTTTTTTTGAACCATGAAAAGAATTCTTTTAGTTTTTGATTTCAAAAAATATGAATTGTAAATATACAGTGGTATATAGTAAATTTCACTCTTTTGAGTGATTTAAAGCAAAAACTATTTTCAAAAGGTAATAAGCATATTATTAAATAAAAATGTGAGTAGTGATTTGAAATATATATATATATATATATACTTCTTAATAGACATTTCTTATCGTGCATTAATAAGAATTCGTAAAACGAAGGTTCGTAACTCGCACTTTTCAAGAATAGTAGAAGAACGTCTTGTTGATTTTCTTGAAAAAAAAAGCTTTTTTTTACCAAGCACAATATTGCCAAGGACAGGGTCTAAATACAAATGTTAATCGTCGAGTACAAATAACTTCTTTTTTTTTTTGCTAGTCCTATCTACGTACAAGTATGAGTGTGCATAAGCACACACACATATATAAGCCTACGAAAATTCAACTTATTCTCTTTCCTCTTTTGTCTGTTGCTATGAGCTGAGTGTGCAGTTCAAGTACGCTATATAGTAGTATACTATCAAATCAGGATGAATCATTGAATTAATGTGTGTTGTCAACATACCAATGCAGATGATGACGCTGCGTGTCGTAACATTCTTTCTAGTGTTGTCATTAGCAACAATGGTCAATGGATAGAAAATAGTTTTTCTAATTGAGCCTCGACGATTTTCATTGATTTCATAGTTGAAAAATATGTTCAACTATCGATTTTTGTTTTTTTTTGTCATATATCCATGATTTTGTCGTCTGTTCGTTTTCTCTCACACCAATAGAAGTAATTATTCACGAAATTGATTTATTAATTTTATTCAAAGAAACTATTTTCATAAATTTCATTTGTATATCTTATCTTAAATAGACTAAATATTTAACCCTTTGTTTTATAGATACAGTTTTTCCAAAAACATGCCATGTATTAAGATACGTATTTATTTATTTTCATCAGACTTTCGTATCTTCATGCGAATGTAGCTTTTATTAGATTATTTGTTATGTGTGAGACAAAAATTGAAAAGCTGTTCTATTTTATGATTTTTTTTTCAGACTCTGATTAAACAAATTATGTTTTCCTTACGCAAACATTTCCATAATCAGGTAAGATTAATTGTTTTGCATTACATATTATGTTCAATCGATCATAGTGAATAGAATACAAATAACAACGAAAAAAAAAAAATTTTTTTTATTATAAAAATAGGAACTGGTTCTTGTTTCTTTTTTTCGTTTTGAATCTATATTTAATGTCATTATCTGTAAATAGAATCTTGAAAAATTAGACGAACATATGAATTTATTTCTGATAAAGCTATTGAACAAAATGGACACACTGATTTTAAACCTTTTGCTCCTAAAATAGGGATAAAAAAATATTTTGTTAATGTTTTTTTTATTCGAACTTTTTTTTTTCTCACCATAAGGTATTTTAATTTTTGACCAATATAAAGCTGTTGATTGTGAAGTCATATGTCCACATGGATGAAAAGCATGTGATGTTGTTGATTCATTATCATTATTTGGTATAACATAAAATGATGATTCTAATCCAGGTATAATTGGTATTAATGGACCAACTGTTCGACAAAGTGGACATTCACGTAATTGATTATTATCATTTATAACACCCCATTGATGATTACCATGAACATGTCCACATGAAACATAAACATATGGATTTGAAAAATTTGATGATATTGATGAAAATGTTGGAGTTTTTATAACTAATGTATTTAATCCAACAGGACATTGAGGTTTTTTTGAATTAAGTTCATCTAATTCAAATTCAAGAAAACGACGAGTCTAATTGAAAATTAAAATTATTTTTTGTTTTTATAAAATAAAATCTTATAGTTACAGGTGTATATTTAAGACCTTCAACTGATCGCCATAGTAACGTTGCTCCACATAGATCGATAAGAGTTCCATCTTTTAGAATATTATCTGTATTAGAAGGAGACTAAATAAATAATAGACTACAATTTATTGTTTTTTTTAATGGATATTTACTGCTGTTTGATAATTATATTTAAATCGCCCTTCACCTAAATCGAATACACTTCCACAAACAGATACTTCTTTCCATTTTGTTGGTTTAGAATTTATATTAAATTGATCTCCATCAATATGCATTAATAAAATACCATTTGTCGTAACACCATCCATTTCATTATGATTATTGTTCCATTTTATTGATTTTTCCTATTGAAGACATATTATAAGAAAAAAAAAAGATTATCAATAAAAGTTCATACTCCAAGGAAGATATTTTTTGAACTATCAAAACCAGCAGCATAAATACGAGCTGTATATGGTGGATGACGTAATACAACAATACGACATGCATAACGTGATATAGTCGATTGTGAAGCATTTATATCATCAATTATTTTTGCTCCAGGAACTGTATCCATAACAATAAAATCAATTTGACTTTCGGATGATCGACCAATCTGAGAAAATAATTTGTTTACTTTTTTTTTTTTATTCATTAAAAAAACAGAACTAAAGAAATATACTTGAAACATATCGGAATCTTCATCATGTTCATATTGAACAACAACAGTTTGATTTCGTGATAATGTATAGGAAATTGAATGAAAATCAGCTTGTGTCAATTTCTAAAAAATAAAAAATACATAACGATATTCATGTTCTGTTATTTAAACATTATTTTGATTATTGATACAAAAAAAATTCATGTAAATAATCATATAATTATTTACTTGAAGCTCAATGAGTGTTTCATACGTAATATGTGTACAATCAATCGTTATTTATTTCATAATTATTTTTTATATCGATCACACATCGATTGTTGCATCACAAGCAAAACTCGTCTTTATCTAATATTTTTTTGTTTACTAACGTCGTGTCTACATGCATTCTTCAATGACTCATATCTCTGTTGATAAGATGTACTAAGATATTTTTGTGAATCATTCAGAACAACATGATTTTAATTATTTTCTTTTTCGTTCCTATTTTTATTTTTACCTGTACTTCATCTAGATTTTTACATATATGTTGTCGTTGTGCTTTGAGACCATTTGCTTGTAGTCGTTGCCTCAATTGAAATTTGCTTTTACGTCTACCATGATCACCATGTGGAATTTGCCCATTAAATCTTTCAAAAAAATAAATGAATAAGATGATGATCATGTATGTTAAATATTTCTCAAGTTAAGGATTCATAGAAATAAAATAACAAAAGTATCAATATGCATATTTAAAATGACAACGTTACTAAGGATGTATGATGTTTATAACCTTGATCATATGTTAACGTGTCTTATGTTAGTTTATGAGAATTTATTGAAGGTTAAATCTTTTTTTTTCTTTAATAATATTATCTAAATATAGAACTAACAAATTTTACTAATCAATTTTCAATAAGATGACCTATATTATAAAAAAAAGAAAATTTTCTCCTAGCCTATTTATTTCAATAGATATTATCTTCTATTCACTACTAAATCAAATATTATCATGGCAACATCATTAGCTACTACAGATAGTGGAATTTCTGATGATGAATTAATTAAATCAAAAAAAGAACATAATCGTTATATTAATTCATTTAATCCTAAATTTAAATTGCCTGGATATGCAACAGTTTTTCGTTGGATGGTTGGTGCACCAAATAATACAAGGTTACCAGCTAATATTGAAGAATTAAATAAATTATTACCAGTAATAAAACATGAACCACATGAAATAGTAAAAATGTCACCTGGTCTACGTTTTATATGGATTGGACATGCAACATGTCTTGTTCAAATTGATGATTTTATATTTCTAACAGATCCTGTTTTTAGTGATCAATGCGGTATAACACCAAAAATTGGACCAAAACGTTTTCGTCCACCAGCATTAACAATAAATGATTTACCTGATAAACTTGAAGCAATAGTTATATCACATAATCATTATGATCATTTAGATCAGCCAAGTGTTAAAAGTTTAAATGAACGTTATGGAAATCAATTAACATGGTTTTGTGGTCAAGGTGGACGACAATGGTTTCTTGATTGTCATATAGAAAATGTTATTGAACTTGATTGGTGGGAAGAATGGAAACATCCAGTATGATAATTAATAAGAATTAATTTTTGTTTTTGAAAATATTTTATTGATTTAGGAAAAAGAACATGTTAAAATAGCATTTTGTCCAGCTCAACATTGGTATTGTATTCTTCTTTTTCTTTTTCTTCTTCTTCTTATTATTATTATAGATCTTTCATTTGCTTTTGTTTTTCAGGTCACGTCGTACTCTTTTTGACTTAAATAAATCTCTCTGGGGTGGATATGCTATATGGAATAAAAATTATAAATTTTATTTTGCTGGTGATACAGGTTATACTCATAATATACCTATATTTAAACAAATTGGAAAGAAATATGGCCCATTTGATTTAAGTGCTATACCAATAGGTGCATATGAACCTCGTTGGATGATGGAAGAACAACATGTATCACCAGATGAAGCTGTACAAATTCATATTGATACACAATCAAAAAAATCTATTGGTATACATTGGGCTACATGGGCATTAGCTAATGAATATTATTTAGAACCACAAGAAAAACTTATTAAAGCAATAGAAGATAATAAATTAGATCCACAATCATTTATTGTTGTTAAACATGGAGAAATATTTGACTTACCCGAGAATAACTAATTCACCATATACGATTTCTTGTTGTTGTTGTTCATTACTTATTTTTATATCTGGCATTGTCTTATATTATAATTGCGAATAAACAAGAATAAAGTGATACACTAAATTCTAAGCAATACTTAAGTTAAAGTACGATAATAGAGAAGAAAAAAAATGTGTGATCGAATGAATAGTTTTATATGAAGAGAAGTACTATACTCTCCCTCTCTCTCTTCTTCATCATCCTCTTTTTTCTCCCTCGTTCTCTTTTTTTTTGTATTATTGTCTACTTCTGATGCTACTTGTTGAGCAAAGAAGTAAGCGGGCATATGTATATAAGGTCATAGTGAGTATAGATGTGCATTCAAAAAGCAAGTAGAATATATATGAAGAAAAAAAATAAAATGAAATCTCTCTGTTGTAATCGACAATGAAGGAAGAGAAAAAAAAGAACTGTACATTTGTCACTCTCCATATTAGGATAGAGTATATATAAAGGACGATGAACATATGGAAAAGATTCTCGTTCTAGTCTATCAAATGTATCTTTTTTTTTATAGCAATGGATATTATTTATACAATTGAACAATTCTTTGTTCAATCATAACGAGAGAAGAAAAACTATTGTTCTTTATTATTATCAATAATCCCAATAGGCAGACAAATAATGATCATCTTATCATCATCAGTATTATTCAGTAATAGGATTTATCTTATATGACTAGTTAGTTCTATGTTCACTAATCTTCACAATAATGTATTTTGTATTTTTACAACAATAGATTTCCTACTATCTATCATATAAATATTCATTTGTTTAATGTAAATATAATTTCGTTTTTTTTTTTCTTAAGAATAAAATTTCATGGCAAAATGAAAATTAACAATATTCTTATCTATCTTTGTAACTGATGTCATGTGCAGACAATATATGTCATTAATGTTGATAATATTGAATCAAGATAATAACTTCTGTCACATAATTGTGATTTGCATGCTTTTTTCCTTATCGTTACTAATTTCTACACATTGATACAATAAAATTCTATAGAAACAAAATTAGTTGATAATTTCATGTCTATTTTGTTTAAAAAACTTGATGTTGATGTAAAATTCGATTTTTATCTCAAATAGACACTTCAATATAAATCACTCTTTTAGTAAGCGATTTTTTTTGAGACATACAAAGAGTGTATATTTAATAAAAATTCAACTGCTAAAGACTGTTCCAATAATATTGCTATGTGACTTAAGAGCAAGCTCATATCGGAACAAATAGGGATGTGCAGTGTTGATGTAAACAATGAAATATTGGCAGTGAGTCATCCGTCCGGGATCCTTTGAATACATTGACATCCGTGTTGTTATAACATTGTGAGACGAACTCTATCAAAATATGTTATTTTTTGTGTAACAGTGTCTACCAGTGCATCAACGAACATTGAAGCACGTGTACTGAGTCGGTAGTGAGTAAACTGAAACTGTACATCTCTAGAAACAACAGATTAAATTGACTATATGTCAATTTTATGACACGAGAAAATAAATTTTAATGATGTTACATGTAAGAAAAAAACGATTACAAGATTGTTCGAACATGAAAATATATAAAATCGAAGGTTTTCTTATCAATCATATTTGAAATAATATTATTAACAATTAGGTAGTCTCCCGAAATGACATTTTGTTATTGAATTTTATCATAATAGATCATTTTTGACCTCGTTTTCTCGATAAGTAAGAATAAAAATCCTCTCAATACTTATCTCATTCATTATTTCTTATCTAAAAAGATCAAATGACAATAATTCTAGATTCAAGTAAATTCATTTCGATAAATTCATAATTATTTTTATTATATTCTATTTTTCAATTTTATTTTAACATTAAGCTATCATTGAAGATAAGTTTTTTTTGAATAATCATCGTATTTTATTGACTACAATATTTCATAAAATATTAATCCAATCTTCAGTAATACTATGTATAAAAATAGTTTAAAGTAAATAAAATAAATAAAAATAATATAATAAATTTCATCGAACTATGTTATTTTTTCTTTCTTCATAATTCTTTCAGTGAAAACTTCATAATGCATTAGATGACGAGTTTGAAACATAACATTATTTCATTTTCAAGTTTTTGTTTACTTGTCAAATGAAATTGAAAATCATATCTTATGAATTCATATTTTCATCTGTATTTGTAACCCTGTAAAATTGATGAGAATGAAATAATAATTATTGTTTAAGATTTCTCCTTCTTTTCGATAATAGCTCCTGAGAAAATTTTAAAATTTTCAAGGTAAATAGATCTCGATGAGTAGAGCAAAAGTTGTCATAAACTCAAAATTTTCAAATGCACCTTTCTAAGAGATACTGGGCTCGCAAAGACTAAAAATTAAGTCTCCCGAACCTAATCGCTCCATTTTCTCAACTGCAATACATCTGATGGCATTGAACGTTTTTTTTTAGAGAAACTAAACACTGTTTAGAGTTGTGAAACAAATAAGAAGTAAGCACTCTAAACACTTCCTAGTATAGGTAGAAGAAAGTTTTAGCTCGATTGGACGTACTGTGATTGAGAAACAGGAGTGATTTTCAACATTTTTTTTTGTGCAAAAAACACATTCTTCAAAACCAATGAAATAATACATAAAGTTTCATGTTTTCTAATGAAAATATACCATCTTTTTCGACTCTTACAGTGCTATATTAATTCTTGCAATATGTTCAGTAAATAGAGGATACTTCGAAGCATATATAGAGCAGTAAAAACAAACCAAAAATAAAAAATCTAAAAATTGCCAATCACAAAAGATAGATTTTCTTAAACATTGCTTCAGCTCTTGCTTAATACTATTTTTAACTTTCTTTTTATTTATTAAACTCTCACTATATACGATTTTGTTTGTAATAATTATTCTCTAGATACAATAAAACAGTATTAAACAGATTAGAAACAAACTAGCATTTTATACATATTAAGGCAATATATATAAATGTACTCATGAGTATAAGAGATATTCTCTAGAGTGAAATTTTCATGAGTAGAACTCGATGACTACTTTTACTATTATATAATACATAAAATGTATACAATTAAAAGAAGAATTATTTTTCTAAAACTATAATATTGTTAAAAAGAATATCATCATTCTGTTTTTTTTTAAATATACAGACAATAACAGTTGCCAATTCGACTTCTTCAAACTTATGTCTACAATAGAGTGTAACATGTTTAAAGAAGGAATCATAATCATTGCTTTCTATATGACATATATAAATTAGACACCCGACATTAATGTGTATAAAACACAAGTGAGAAAAGAAGAGTCAGGTGAGAGATGGATAATTTTTGGAACGACATGCATAACTGTAAGAAAGATGCTACGTAAACATTTCGGCTTATGATGGATGTCTGTATAAAAAAAGAAAATGAATAGGAGAAGAAAGTACGTGAGAGAAATGCAATACATTTTGAATATCAGCTAATTACAAAAATTCAACTGAAAATTCTGATTTTTTTTGTTTTTATTAATAAAACTGCTGTTTAATCACACATTCAATTAAAAAAAAATGATCGATTGTTTGTTTGTAACTCTCATCACCTGATCAAATTGTTTATTTTTTATTTTCATTTTTTTTTCTCTAGAGAGACAACATTTTATCCATAACAATAAGAGGAAAATATGTTATAACACTTCTATCGGAAAATATTCAGCAATTAGACGTCGTGTTAGTCATTTTTCTTCTTTCGATATTTTTAAAAGTGAGGAAAGCAATTTTGTCTCACTACCAACTTACACCACATCTATTACATCAAAGGTATAATAAGGATTAGTCTATGTGAATAAGAGAGCGAGAGAGAGAGAAAAGTGCTCACCCATTTATAGACTTAAAAATAAGGACCATTTTTACCACCATTACTCTATCGACTCTCTTAACCGAAATAAGCCGACCGATAATTTTATATTATATTCTTGTTCATTTTGCTTATTCACAAAAAAACAAACGAACTTGACTTTGCCGAATCGTTTGAAATTAAATTACATCATTTGTTGTCGGTTAACGGACAGTAAAAGAAAAAGTGTAGATTGTTATGTGTAAAACGAAACAAGAGAGAGGGATCAAATCAGAGTGATCAGTCAAATGAAATACTATCAAACACGAGAAAGAAACAAGCCGATCAAATTATGACTTAGAAAACGAGATTTATTTATCAAGATCAACATATTGTTATATGTGTCTGTGTTTTTCTGAGAAAAAATTTGAACTTTGCAGAGATGTAACTCAGTGCTAAAGACGCAGGAAAAGGGATGTTACATCCCTCATGAGTTATGCTCTTGAAACTTTATTATTTTCTATCAAATAAAGAAAGTATCTTTAAGTTTTCCATGGTCTTGAATTTTGTAGTAACCTCGGAACATCATCTCTACCGATAACATTAATCAGTTGAAAAATATAAGAAAAAATTATTATAAACACCAATATCGAACTTCTTTTGAATCCAAAGTTTAACATGATTACTATATGACAATTTGTTATCGTTTATATTCATAACGAAATATTTCCTTCGATCAATATAAGAAAAATTCTTGTTTGCTGATTCAATGAAAGAAGAAATAATCATGTCACATTTTTTTCTCACGTAACCAATCCAAATATATTGTGACAATTTTTCAATTGTAAATCATTGGTTATTTGACAGAAAAAAGAAAAAAGATAGAGACAATATATATATATATAATATATATACCAATATTGATTTAAAGAATCATATATTTTCTCTCTCAAATAAAATTTGTTCAATATTTGTTATTCGTTTTGAATAATAACTTTACAATGAATGATGATTATTATCTTTCTCATGGTCCTTTACATGAACATAATCGTATACTACCAGAAATAACTTCTAGTTCAACAAATTATTTGTCTTATTCATTACCAGAATTTCATTCAGAAAAAACACCAAAAAAGACGAATGGAAAATTAAAACAACAACAACAACAACATCATCGA